CACACATAAAGAATACCAGTACACGCAATCATCTCCAAGAGTTTGAAGGGAGAGTCCACCCTGATATTGATAAAAATTGTATTGTGTTGATTTAAAAGAAGTAAAGAAATGAGAGAAACATGTCAGCAAAAGTTTAAGCAAAAACTGATTAAAAATAAGAACGTTATGAATTTTTAAAGGTGCGATCGATCAAATAGAAATTGGCAACTCTGCGACACATCTTGTGAGCTCCCCTCCCATTTGCCCTGTACTGAAACACTTAAAATATATTCCCTTAAGAAAATTTTCAATCATACATTCATCTTTAATATAATCTTTCCAAATATGTTTTTATACAACCCTTGTATGAAACAAATTTATTCCGTCATCAACAACATTCTAGGAAAATGAAATTTTTTGACATTATCTGTTCAGAGCACATTTCACTAATTTGTTACTCTCATTTTTCTACTTCCATTAAAACCAACTTATTATCAGAGTGGATTTCTCCTTTATTTATCATGAAATGAAGAGATGAAGAAACACAGCAGCAAGAGAAGTTGAATTCTTTTCCCCTATTTCAGGTTCTTTCCCAACACGTATCACACAAATTATTGTGATTTGAGTTTCAAAGACCTGTTTACTGAAAAACGTGCATTGTGTGCATACAGGTCAACTACAAGTTGTTCTTCACTACCAGCAAGTTTGAAAACTGCAAGGAGGATGGTCTCTACTCGAGTATACAAAATATCATATATCTACATTTACATGTGACATTTTGATAGTTTCTGGTGTAAGGCATCCATAAATTTAAATTCATTAGTAAAATGAACTAGTATGGCCAGCTATACATACATGTACATGTATATTGCAACCTTGCATAGCAAAATGTTAAGCCTACATCACATGTAATGAAAACCTTCAAAATGCAGATAAAAATGACTAATTCCATTTGCAAAATAATGCCTTAAATTTGATCCTGATTAATGACATAATGCTTGTACATGTAATACATGTAGATGATACCAATGCTCTGACCATATTACAGAGTACACATAATTTGAAGATTCCTAAACAAAGCAGACTTTAATTTTTTTTTAAAGTTTTAAAATTGGCATTGTTTGCACTTTGCATGACCTGTATCTGGTTTATGAAATTATGATTTCTGCATTGATTTGTCAAACTCTTTATCTTATAATAAATGTATAGTAGAAGGGCAAAGGGACATGCATTACAACACAAATTCAGCATAAAATGACCCCTGACCTTAAATGACCTCCGACCCCTATACACCATTAAAAGAAAGGCTATATGCCATAAATAGCACACTTATCCACACACAACAGAATAAAAATAGTCAAATGTTTCATTATACATAATGATGGAATGCTGCAGTATAAAAGTTGTCTTTCTAGTTTACAAGTATACTATACATCTACATCATACTTATATAACCTGTATCCAAGCTGTAATGAATGAAGTAGGTACAAGAATATTTTGTCCTTTTACTTGTGTTCTTCAGTTGCTCAAATAGATATTTTATGTCATGTACTATATACTTAATTTACGATTTCATCATAATTTGGCCGAACTCTAGTAAGGTAAATAGTCAAAAGGCAAGCCATATCAGGCTGATAATGAGAAAGTACGTCCATCCATATCTGAACTTGAATCACTGAATCAATTAAAAGGAAAGGTTAAAAGAAGTCATGATTGATGACAAAATAGAAATAAAATTGATTTTAATTAAAATGGCAATTAATACAGACATACTGCAGCTAATTTCACCTTGCACTTAATGGAGTTAGTTGGAAAAATGGACAGAAAGCCAAAATCTGACAATATAGACAGGAGGTACAGGAACAAAGAGCAGGGAAAAATAATGGTCTGTGATTGAGTACTGTAATCACAAGAAAATAGATATAAATAGTAATGGCCCCTAACTTTCACAACAAGGAATGGACTAAACTCAGGTAATATGGCAGATAATACATATTCTCCATTTTTAAATATGAACAAGGTTTTACAACTAGTTTTGAGTATGTACATGTATATCATGCAAGGCTCTAATGAACTTCTCTATAAATATGATTTTAAAAAACAGACTATATTCTTATGCGTGCATACTGTTTAATACCCAGTTATCATTTTTTTTTAAAAGGAGAAAACTCCCATCAAGGTATGTCAATTTCATCTCACTGCCAAAGGGCAATTACAATGACTGTAGCAAGGGTGACCTTTAAAAAAATATGATGACATGTTTATAAATGGCATAGAAATAATAAACAAGCATGAATAATAAATAGGCAACAGGAGCAAAAGTGGCAGTAGATGCTAATTGATGTAAAAATAGTATTTGTTGTTGTGAGCTGTAGTAGAAGAAGTAAAATTAGCATTTTTGAAATAACAGTAGTAATAGTCATAGAAGTAGTAAACATAATGGTAGAAGTAGAAATAAGTAGTTGTAGTAGCTACCGTAGTCATGGTAGCAACTAGAGTACACAGGTGTATCCATAGCAATTGTCAAAGTTGCACTCATAGCATTTGTACATGCAGTAGCAATAAAGATTTTGTATATTAAAATAGTAGAAGTATGAATTAGGATCAAATAAAGTAGCTCCTGTGAAAGCACTAGAAATATTTGGTCATACAGTACTTGTTTACCAAGGTGACACAAGCATTTTTAAAAACATTTTTTAAAACATGTTCAATCATATTTTATATATAAAACATGACAAGAAAGTCTGCAAAGAATATAATCAATGGATCTTTAATCCATGATAAAGTTAAAGTTTTCTTTTCAAAAATATGAAAGCTTCAGTTTGGTTGAATATGTACATGAAACAGATAGGCACTTCTTGCACAAAGAGATGAGAGACTTTACATACATGTTAGGGCGATTCTGCATAAGTAAAAAGTGACAATTTGACAATAGTTTCTTCATCCATGAATTTGAAAATCAATTTTCTTTCTAGTATAACTACAGAGCATGATGGATATCATGGCTATAAAACAAAATGTCATACATTATTTGTATAGTCTGCAAGGCTTGAAAATGTTGTCAAACAATCCTCTTTACCAATACAAGATTGCCTAAGAGAGAAACTAGTTATTCAACTCACACACCCCCACATGATACAGCATGCATTTTTACTTTGTATATATCACAAACAGCAATATATATATATATATATATATATATATATATATAAGTGAATACAAAAGAACAGCTAAATCTTGTTAAGTTTTAGTTCTCATTGAATACCAAAAGTAGAGGTTAATTTTGAGCTTCAGTGAAAAAAAAGGAAGGATATAAGAAAATCAAAAAAATATCTTGAAATAGAAATATTTGTTTTTCAGGCTGCAATCCCTGGAAAACAATTCTCACTACCGCATATAGCAATATACATGTACATTCTCATAATGCATTGTGCCTCTGAACAATTATTCTCAGTACAATTTTGTAGACTCACTAACTTTCGGTGATCCTAAAACATGTATTCTGCTATTCTTCGATTTACTAGTAATTTATTATCTGTAATTCTTAATCTTGTTCGACAGTTACAAATTTTGCAAAATACACAAGCAGTAACGGTAAGTATGTTGATTAATTGAAAGTAATGTACCAGCATTGGCAAATGCCAGCGGTTGGAGAAATTCTCTCAAAAAATGAAAACTTGGCATGCTGCAATAGCAAAAGTAGATTCTTTTCCCCAAGCCATGATTGGGCTCTATTGTCAGAAATGTTCAAGAATTTCCCATGATATACAGCAGGGTCACATATTTCATAAATTTACATCATTAGAGATTTAGGCAAAACTACATTTCATTTCTAGTCTCATTAACAGTTAAGTGTGAGTCCAATACTTTGTTCCCCGTTTTGACAGAAAATAAGTTTGTGCGACTGCAAACGCCTGATAAATTCGCTAGTAAAATTAGAGTGCCGCATACACAACGTCTTTTAAAAAATGCAATCAAAGAAAAGTTATTATTCTACTATAGATGTGGCTTAAATGTTCTAAGCTATATGCGGTAGGGAGAATTATGACAGAACATGAACATATAAAATAGAGGAGTAGAATTTTCATGGTATTGCACAACTTTTGTATCATAATTCTAAACTGACCATGTAACAATTAATTGGAAATCTATATTCAATCTACAGTTTAAAATAAGGCTTTCCTCAGTTTTCTTAACACTATTCTCCATTTTGCATTTGACACATAGATTTAACACACACACACACACAAAATAACAAACAAATCAAAGCTGACCCCTCCCCCTGCCTCCACCCACTGCAAAAGCTTGGATGCCCCTTAGAGGAAAACCAAGAGCTAATTAAAAGACAACTAGGTATTTTTAGCAGTAGGCCTACCATACATGAGGATGGCCGACACATCAGGTACGATATACTCGTATGCAACCATCTAGATTACTCACAAATGCATTCCTAATCCTCACAGTTGCATTACTAAGCCTCGAAGTCATTTTATCACAAATGTGTAAATCACAATTGTAACAATTTCATTATTGATTGCTTTTTTTTCTTCATAATTCTGAGTTGGCCTAGTAAAGAATTCCATAAGACTAGTAAATGACTGCATCCCACTCAAATAGGATTAGCCCTATAAGGCGCAAGTGCATGTCATCAAAACACACTGGAACTTAAGTACATCGTACATGTATGCTAATTATCACAAGATAGGCACGAAAATTTCAATCATTTCTGAAATATACAATCCTCATTCAATCATTTGTAAATCACTTCAAAATATTATTTCCATTTTACACACTGCATTTCAGTACATTAGAAACATAACAATGATAATAAATAGCAGAAAGTGAAATGACTATTTAAAGAATTGTCACTAGCCTATTTCATTGGACGGCGAGTTGATTAGAAGTCTCTTATAGATACAATTTTACAATTCACAATTTCACACAATAAATGAGCATATAATCACATGATTTCCTAGAAGTCATACAGAAATATAAATCTTATCAATCTAAAGGCTTCACATCAAAATCTTAACATGTATACATTTAAAGAACAATGTACTTTGATATAAGCATACCAAATAAGTATTCTTGGTCCAATTCAGAAAATGACTTCTTTTTTTTCTTGACAATTTCTCCCGATCTCCAATGGATATTGACTTGGCCACAACAAAATTATATATTGCTTAAAGTGAACACTGAACACATAAGTGGAGGTACACTTGTTGTAGAATTACAAAGTGAATGTTCAGGAAATTTGAGAATCTCATTCAATAATGACACAAAAATCAATTCAAAGATCAAAACATTTCTTCACACACTGTGTCGACTTTTGTTGCTTAACCGTTTGGCATTTGACGCTAGAATTTGTTTAAAGGAAAATAAGCATTAAGTTTCTTAAAGTAGCAAAATGTTGATAAGCTCAAAGTCATTGTTTTTCAGTATGAATCAGCAAAGTTGTAGTTTAACGTCAATGACATTTTATAATATTCTTAGATACAGAACTTTCATAGGAAAAGTAAGGCAAATAGAGAGATACAAGTGTTGCCATTTTGAAGAAGAAGAAACACTGATTTCATCAGCCATTGCAAATCCCAGTCCTGCATGGGTGGCCTAGCCTAGAGAATGGAACAGATGGCACACTTGGTGACCGCCACCTGTTGCGCTTGTCTCTGCCCTCCTCCTCCACCCGTGCTGTTTCTCCCGAGGCTGCTCTGGGTGCGCAGGGACTCCACTCGGCTGGGGCTATGCATGCTCCGCGGGGTCGTGGAGTCGGCTGACTGGGAGTTGTTGGTCGTGATGATCTCGACGGCCGAGTCTTCGATCTTGACGGCCGGTTTGACCTGGATGGGCTTGACGTAGCGAGTGATCTGATGGATCACATCCTGGTTCTTCATCTCCTTGTCGGCCTTGACCCCTGACCCTCCATGACCTCCGACCCCTATGAACAAAGATCAGACCACCGTAAAGCGTTGATTAAATTTGCTTGAAACAAAGATGCGAATCACACATCATCATGGAATATAAACTGAACGCATTATCCCCAAATAAACATCTTTTTTCGTAGCTTGGCAAAAGTTAGTGGCATTTTTTGACACATTCCTTGTTGGTGATTTCAGTCATGTAAAGTGTAAACTGATACACCACAAATACTGTTTCAATATTACGTAGCCGAACCATGTTGTTAAAGAGGTAAATGTTTGGAGCAACTAAATGGTGTTATCTCTGATTGTAAAACTGTATGCTCTTGTTGGGACAACAGACAATATAAGCATGCCTCGATCTATACAACCAAATTATGAATATTTTAAGAATCATATGCACCATGATTTTAACCAAACATAGATGGAGACACCAACGTATTCGTCTTGTCACATGTGTCATCCATGTAACGGGCGTGTCTTTATACTGCGCTACGATCCTGGTATATTAGACAGCTCTTTTGCAGATATACCAATGTGTGATTGATCCTCAGCGCATCACGTGAAATCGAGTTTGAGGATATTAACTGGAAGGGGGCCGTACGTAATATACCAGTACATTCTTTGGAAGGTACAGGCGTTTCATTTTCCCTTGTGATCAAATACTCCAGAGCCCCATAGTTCAGGAAAATGCAACTCCTTGTGAAAATACAAGTCCCTTCGGCGGTCCAAGGAATGTTACAGTTAAACCTGCTTTAGTGACCACCTGTCTACAAAGACCACATTTTTTGTCTTCCTTGAAAATGGTTTCTCATTGAAAAATGTACTAAAGGAACCTGTCTACAAAGACCACCTGTCTTCAAAGACCAATTTTTGTGTTTCCCTTGAGCGATCGCTATAGACAGGTTTGACTGAATATTACACCCTCTTCCAGTTCCTATCTGTAAGATATACTCACCAATAAAGGTGACATAGATGAGCTGTGACACGATGAGGGCCATGCCGCCAGGTGGTGGCCAAGGGACTTTCCTGAAGATGATGGGAATGATAGGTTTCTTGAGCTGATCGGCGAGGCTCAACTCCCGATTACAGTTCTCTGACATGATGTATTGGGGCGTGATGCAGCACACAAACACCTGCAGCCGGCCAACATGGAAGAATGGATAATAATAATGATGATGATGATGATATTCCACGTTTATAGACAATATAAGGTATTTGATATTAAGGCTGCAACGGGTAGTCAAATTCGAATGCTCGAGTACCCGCACGGTTGACAACTACTCGGGTACGATTTCTTGTACCCGAATATTCGGCCGCAAAAAAAAAAATTAAAAAAAAAAAACTAGATGGAATTTTGACTGCGCGCAGTCGAAAATGATGCCTCCGCCATAGAGCAATTTAAACAAGTTTGGAGTTTTAAATCTCCAGTGGTTCTTGAGATATCATGATAACAATCTCAATGTATGGAATTTCATAAGTTGACCTCTGTGACCCTTGACCTTTGACCTACGTGCTCCAAAATCTAATCAGATTGTCTTCCTATGGTGATACACACTATCATTAAGTTTGAAGTTTAAATCTCCAGTGGTTCTTGAGATATTATGATATGGTGATACATACTATCATTAAGTTTGAAGTGAAATTCTCCAGTGGTTCTTGAGATATCGCGATAACGATCTCAATGTATGGAATTTCATAAGTTGACCTCTGTGACCCTTGACCTTTGACCTACGTGCTCCAAAATCTAATCAGATTGTCTTCCTATGGTGATACACACTATCATTAAGTTTGAAGTTTAAATCTCCAGTGGTTCTTGAGATATTATGATATGGTGATACATACTATCATTAAGTTTGAAGTGAAAATTCTCCAGTGGTTCTTGAGATATCGCGTTAACGATCTCAATGTATGGAATTTCATAAGTTGACCTCTGTGACCCTTGACCTTTGACCTACGTGCTCCAAAATCTAATCAGATTGTCTTCCTTTGGTGATACACACTATCATTAAGTTTGAAGTTTAAATCTCCAGTGGTTCTTGAGATATTATGATAACAATCTCAATGAATGGAATTTCATAAGTTGACCTCTGTGACCCTTGACCTTTGACCTACGTGCACCAAAATCTAATCAGACCGTCTTCCTATGGTGATACATACTATCCTTAAGTTTGAAGTTTTTACATCTCCAGTGGTTCTTGAGATATCATGATAACAATCTCAATGTATGGAATTTCATAAGTTGACCTCTATGACCCTTGACCTTTGACCTACGTGCTCCAAAATGTAATCAGATTGTTTTCCTATAGTGATACACACTATCACTAAGTTTGAAGTTTAAATCTCCAGTGGTTCTTGAGATATCATGATAACAATCTCAATGTATGGAATTTCATAAGTTGACCTCTGTGACCCTTGACCTTTGACATACGTGCTCCAAAATCTGATCAGATCGTCTTCCTATGGTGATACATACTATCCTTGAGTTTGAATTTAAATCTCAAATGGTTCTTGAGATATCGCGCTAACAAACTCAATACAAGGAATTTCATAAGTTGACCTCTGTGACCTGTGACCTTTGACCTACGTACTCCAAAATCTAATCAGATCGTCTTCCTATGGTGATAAATACTATTCCCGAGTCTTAAGTGTAAATCTTAAATGGTTCTTGAGATATTGTGATAACGGTCAAACGGGACGACGTACGGACGGACAACCCGAAAACATGATGCCTCCGGCACCACCTTCGGTGGCGGAGGCATAAAAATATATTTTCCTCCAAAATCCTGAACCACCCCGGCCCTTACCATTTCGGCCTGAAATTGTGTTTATTCAATTATCACAATATTTGCCCCTACGCCCCTATCAAAGGGATATGGGGGTCAAGATCCATCTAATGGCATGTATGGACATTCATTGTGGGGAATTAACCTATTAAAAAATATATATTTTCCTCCAAAATGCTGAACCACCCCGGCCCTTACAATTTCGGCACGAAAGTTGTGATAATTCAATTTTTTACAATATTTGCCCCTTCGCCCCTTTCAAAGGGATATGGGGGTCAGGATCCATCTAATGGCATGTATGTACATTCATTGTGGGGAAACTAGCCTATTAAAAAAATATGATATTTTCCTCCAAAATGCTGAACCCCCCGGCCCTTACCATTTCGGCCTGAAATTGGTGTTTGTTCAAATTATCACAATATTTGCCCCTACGCCCCTTTCAAAGGATATGGGGGTCAGGATTCATCTAATGGCATGTATGTACATTCATTGTGGGGTAACTAGCCTAATCAAAAAATATAATTTTTTCTTCAAAATGCTGAACCACCCCGGCCCTTACAATTTCGGCCCGAAAGTTGTGATAATTCAAATTTTTACAATATTTGCCACTACGCCCCTTTCAAAGGGATATGGGGGTCAGAATCAATTTAATTGCATGTAGGTACATTCATTGTGGGGAAACTAGCCTATTAAAAAAAATATATTTTCCTCCAAAATCCTGAACCACCCGGCCCTTACCATTTCGGCCTGAAATTGGTGTTTATTCAAATTATCACAATATTTGCCCCTACGCCCCTTTCAAGGGATAAGGGTCAGGGTGAAAGGGGGTCCATCTAATGGCATGTATGTACATTCATTGTGGGGAAACTAACCTATTAAAAAAAATGATATTTTTCCTCCAAAATGCTGAACCCCCCGGCCCTTACAATTTCGGCACGAAAGTTGTGATAATTCAAATTTTTACAATATTTGCCCCTACGCCCCTTTCAAGGGATATGGGGGTCAGGATCCATCTAATGGCATTTATGTACATTCATTGTGGGAAACTAGCCTATTAAAAAAATATATATATTCCTCGAAAATCCTGAACCACCCCGGCCCTTACCATTTCGGCCTGAAATTGGTGTTTATTCAAATTATCACAATATTTGCCCCTACACCCCTTTCAAAGGATATGGGGGTCAGGATCCATCTAATGGCATGTATGTACATTCATTGTGGGAAACTAGCTATTAAAAAAATATATTTTTTCCTCCAAAATCCTGAACCACCCCGGCCCTTACCATTTCGGCCTGAAATTGGTGTTTATTCAAATTATCACAATATTTGCCCTACGCCCCTTTCAGGGATTAAAGGGGTCAGGATCCATCTAATGGCATGTATGTACATTCATTGTGGGAAACTAACCTATTAAAAAAAAATATATTTTCCTCCAAAATGCTGAACCACCCCGGCCCTTACAATTTCGACACGAAAGTTGTGATAATTCAAATTTTTTACAATATTTGGCCCCTACGCCCCTTTCAAAGGGATATGGGGGTCAGGATCCATCTAATGGCATTATGTACATTCATTGTGGGGAAACTAGCCTATTAAAAAAAATATATATTTTCCTCGAAAATCCTGAACCCCCCGGCCCTTACCATTTCGGCCTGAAATTGGTGTTTATTCAAATTATCACAATATTTGCCCCTACACCCCTTTCAAGGGATATGGGGGTCAGGATCCATCTAATGGCATGTATGTACATTCATTGTGGGAAACTAGCCTATTAAAAATATATATATTTTCCTCCAAAATGCTGAACCACCCCGGCCCTTACAATTTCGGCCTGAAAATTGGTGGTTTATTCAAATTTTTACAATATTTGCCACTACGCCCCTTTCAAGGGATATGGGGGTCTGATCAATTTAATTGCATGTAGGTACATTCATTGTGGGGAAACTAGCCTATTAAAAAAATATATATTTTCCTCCAAATCCTGAACCACCCCGGCCTTTACCATTTCGGCCTGAAATTGGTGTTTATTCAAATTATCACAATATTTGCCCCTACGCCCCTTTCAAAGGGATTGGGGGTCAGGATCATCTAATGGCTGTATGGACATTCATTGTGGGGAAACTAACCTATTAAAAAAATATATTTTCCTCCAAAATGCTGAACCACCCCGGCCCTTCTAATTTCGGCCCGAAAGTTGTGATAATTCAACTTTTTACAATATTTTCCCCTACGCCCCTTTCAAAGGGATATGGGGGTCAAGATCCATCTAATGGCATGTATGTACAGTCATTGTTGGGAAACTA